ACTTGTTTTTGTAAATGTTTTATACGGTAAGCTGCTGTATCTTTAAAACGTTGTAAATAATTTAAACGTGTTTGAACGGCAACTTCCATATCAATAACTTCCGTACGTAATTTTGTATTGTCCTATGATATTTAATTATTATTTTTAAATATAACAACAAACAAAAAATTATTGTTTATCTTAACCTTTCTTAATTTTGTTTCAATATCTTGATAGGAAAGAATTTTTCTACCTGCTACTTTTTCATTAACACGTAAAACAGTTATTTTTCTTGTTACTTCTGCAATACGACGACGAACTTCAGCATCGTCTTGTTCTAATGTATTAAGAAGACGCTAAAAAAATAAAACAAAAAAAATTAAATTTAGAACAAAAACAAACGAAATAAATTTTATGTTATAATTTTACATCAAATTCTTGAAGTTTAACAAGATTTTTTTCAATTTCAGTTTGTAAATCACGTTTTGCGTCATTTGTTTGTTCACGTTCATTTGTCCATTGTAGTTGTTTTTCATGAAAATCTTTATAAAGTAAACCTGTTTGATGTTTAATAACATTTAATTTTCGTCGATATTTATCAAGTCCTTCTTCAAGTTGTTTATTCATTTCACGTTGGGCTGTTACTTCCTAAATAATAAAAGATTTTAAATCAAATCATTAAGTTTTCTATGAACTCATCAGTGATAGAAAATTCTTTGGAAAATGTCGATTATTGTCTTTTAGAAGTATAACATCAGACTTTCTGTTTGGAAAAATAAGTCGGGCAAGTATTTATATAAAACAAAAGACTTTTTTATTTAACGAATTTATGCTATGCAAAAATGTTATTTAAGCTGATCTCAAACAAGATTTTGTTGGAGTTGAGCAATGAACCACTCAGTATTTTAATGATAATGCCTTTAATATTCGTTTGTTCTTACTAAATATGTATTATTTCCCGAGATACGCTTTAAATGAATAGTCCAAGATGAAGAATTTTCTAATGCAATTCTTTGTCAATTTTTTCATAGGCATTTCTTTCAATATCACTTTTCTCTAATTGAGAGAACGTACGAATTTACTCTAAATTGAATAGTTCAAATATATTTAAATCTGAACTATTTGATGACTAATAGCCCATGACGACGGACAAGAAAACTTCTTCTAACCCCACTGTTGTATACTGAATGAATATGTGGTTTCGTGAGTCGTCCTAGTAGAATAACCAATATGACACCAATGGTTATTTTTAACCAAGAGACATTAGATTACTATTAATACATCGAGAATGTGCTTTCAATAACACTAAAAACAGAAATAAGATCTTCAGAAAAGATTGAACAATACAACAGAATGATATGCGAAACATCATATCCATTAAGTACAACATTAAGGTTAGGACTAGTTTCATTCGTCCATCACCAAGAATTATTAGCCATTGAGTAGTCCAGATTTAAATATATTAAAGTATTCAATTTGGAGTGAATTCGTACATTCTGTCATTTAGGCAATAGCAACATCGAAAGAAATACATGTGCAAGAACTGAAACATACAGTAAAAAGAAGAACTGTCGAAAATATTCTATTAGAAAATTTTTCTTCTTGAACTAGTCGTTTGAAACGTACCTCGGAAACTGATACATGTTATTTACATTAATAAAAAATATACCAATTTGAAGAGAATTAAAAGACGAATCTATTGAAAAATAATTTACGCTGAACAAACAAATAATAAAAGATATATCATTATAATAATGAGCAATCCACTTTTTCTAGTACAACCGATACAAAGCCTGAAACTATGTCTTTGTTGATTAATACTAGTCGAAGATACACAATTAGTAAACAAAATACATTATTCAATAGAGCAGAAACGATCTTGACCTAAGTAATATATTTCGAAAAATTTTCAATCACTTTACAAAATTTTTCTGGATTGAATATTCTTTTTTGGAATTCATAATTTTCGTAAAATTGATATTTCAACAGTATGAATATAACATGAAAAGATCTATTTCGTAGTAATATGATTATGATAAATCGAAAGTAAAAATTTTCAATTTATTAGCCTGTTTTAATTTCAAGACTGTGTCCTTTCAAGTAACAGAAATTACGACTAGATTTGATATTCGAATGTAAAGAAAAGAATCTCGACATTATTTCATCGGTTATTAAATTACGTACAGCTAATGCATCAACAAGATATTCATTAAGTGATGAAATAATATCTCGACTTGATGGTGATAAACCATCAGGTAATTTCATTGATTGAAATGCAAGTGGAACAGCACCAGCTTCTTCAAATAATTTTAAATCACGTTGAAATTTTTCATTCTAAATCGAAAAAGAATAGATTTCAAGTATTTTCTTTTTTTCTGTTAAATAATAATAATCAGTTGTTTTTTTCACGAACTTGTTCAAGAGCTAATTTAAGATTAACATCAGATTTTGTTTTTTCATGTCTAGCATTATATAGTTCATCACGTAATTCAGCATTACGACCAACTAATTTATCATTTTCACTTTTAAGCATCATTACATCATCGTATCGACCAGTAAGCGATTGAGTTTGGAGAACCTAAATATTAAAAAAATATTTAATTTAAAAAAAAATATGTCGATTTACTTCAAGCATTTTATCTAATGATGGACATTGAATAATATAAGGCGATGATTGATCACCACTTGCTGTTCGTTGAAACCGTTTTTGTTTTAATTGTTCATCAATTTCTCTTAAACCTTGTTCAAGACCACGAATTTCGTTAATTAATGAACGATTTTCATTGGTTTTTTCAATAAGTTCACGATGAAGTTGATCAATATTGGCATCAGAAGCTTTTAATTGTTGATCGTAATCATTACGTGCTATACGAATAGCTTCATCAGCATTTGTACCACTTGGTCGGGGTATACCGTTATCGTCAATCCATACAGTATCACCAGCAAGACCTAATTCAGCTGCTCGTACACCTGCTTGACGCGCTAATTGACGACAATTTTGTTTTAATTTTAGTCGTTCTTCTTCAAGACGTTCAATCTAGTAAAAGATAAAGAATATTTTAGGAAAGAAATTCTTAATCATTCAAATTTTTCTAATTAACATACTGAGATTTCCAATATGATCTTATATTCTTTTCAAATTTAATTAGAAAACAAGAACTCAATAAAACGACCTATGAAGCAACTAATTACTAATTATGATAGCAAGTACTGATTATAATTCGTTAGCTTAACATTTAATAGACAAATTTTTTGTTTATTTTAAGAGAAAAAACTACAATATACTCAATTATTTATAAATATATTCTACAAATACTAACAGCAATCGATCGATAGATCTTTTTAGTATGTAATTATATACTTCAACGTTCTAGGAATCTGTCATTTAGATATGTTTCATACTGGTTTTGCAATAGACTTTGATTTCGTGTGTACATGTGGCACGGTCAGTAAGGAGGAAGTTACAATACTAACGTGTCTATCAGGACCTGTGGCTGACGAAAACTCTAATTTTTTACTATTACACGGCAACACTTATTTTTCATCGTGTTTCACAAATATTTATGACTTAGCAATATTTCTATAAAATTGAACACGATTTTTGGCAAACTGAAATGATCAGTTCTATAGTCAAATTAAAATTTAGTTTTCTTTCTTGTTCAATCAAAAATCAAATATCCTTTCTTATAAAAATATTAAATAGGTCATATCCTCGGAAAGATAAATTGGCGAATAGGATGAGTTATTGACTTTAGCTATCAAAGCCTAGATAATGAAAAAAGCATCAATAATTTTCTATTTTGTTATAATTAAATATTTGGATTCTAAACATTTCATTAGTTTTATTTTCTTACTTCTTTTTGTAAAACTTGTACAACAGCCTGATTTGCTTCAGTACGTGTCATTCTTGCTGTTTTAAGTTGTTCAACAGTCATTGGCGTTCGAGGATCCATACCTAATTTTGCTCGTAATTCTTCATTTTCATCCGTTACTTCATTAACAGTAAGTTCGTTTCGTGATGCATATTGTGCTAAATCTTCTATTTGTCGATCTTTTAATTTTAAATGTTCTTTTAATTGACGTATTTCTTGTACAGCATCTCGTAATTCATAATTGTTATCCAAAAACCCTCTTAATTGTTTATCAAGATCATGTAAACGAATATCACGGTCTGCTAATTCTTTTTCATAATCATTTACTTGTCTTTTTAAACGATTTGTTTCAAGTGCCTGTGAACGATTTGCTATGGATGTTGGATCATTTGATGCTTTTATTAACAAATAAAAAAAAAAACGAATATGTCTTAATTATATAGATGAACAAGTTGCAACTTTATTGTACAGTTATATTCTTATATGTAAAAGTTTAATATCTCGAGTTCATCTCAATCAATCTTTCATGGTTTTTTTTAGATTAGCCTTTCCTAATAAGTCGTCACTACAACACAAAAAAAATGTAGATTTTATCTCAAACAAATCTTGAAATGTTATAAGAACAAACTTTGAAAGACAAATTTTTATGTACCATCTATTGTTAAAAAATACCGTTTAACTGATTTGTTTTTTTGTTATTTGAAGTTCAGAAACTGACAAATATTTACTAACCAGTCTATGCTTTTCAAATATAAGACAGATTAGATTTTTCAGCGCATTTTTTATTATGACGTTTCTCTCTGAATATCAGATGTATATTCATTCCTTGACTTTCTGCCATGCAAAATATAAAATAATCCTGGAATTGTACTACCCATCTAAAATTGATCGGATTGATTTTGAATGAAAGCTGGTAAATAGGAAATAAAATTTAAGAAAATGAGAAAATTCGATTGGAACAACAAATATCATGCGAGATTTCTCATTTTGTCTAATGTATAAGTCTATTAAAGTATGACAGTTTAAAATGAAACTTTCACCATTTTATCTATATATTATGGTCAGTTACTACTGAAAATATCATCGTTCAAAAACTTATAGCTTATGAGAAAAAAGAAACATTAGTGTCAATGTGTCATATGAAATTGCAATATATATGATAACAGTTCACGATTGACAATGAGAACTCATCCAACTGATAATCTTCGTTTGAGTTCATTTTTTTTCTCATAGGTAGAACTCATGTCATTAAACCTTTCTTCTCGAGTTATGATCATTTCATTGAACTGTCGGCCTCTTGTAAGATATGATGAGAAGAGTCGTAATATGGAGTTTCGGTTTGAAATTCTTCCCAGTAATAGCTCTCATGATGCTTATGGTGTCCTGACAGTTGCAGCTCAAATGAATACTTTTTCCTTTGAGATAATAGGCTTATCAAACACGTTATTTCCACATAAAAGCTTCAAAAATAGTCCAGTTTTGTGGCATACAAATATTTTAAGAAGAAATTATCCGTTTGAGCTAAAACTTTCGAGATATTATAAAAATCATGAGAACTAATGTTGGAGACAATTCCAGGTCGAAACTTCTTTTTGCAATTTTTCTCTTGATATCTCGCAATAGACCGAAAGCTCAGTAAAATGATCATAACTCGAGAAGAAAGATCTTCCGGCACGAATCATTTTAGGATTTTTATCCACATTATGAGTCTTACCTACGAACAAAATATGGGCTCAAAATAACAGTACTTCTTCAAATTGTACAACTTCCTCATCTATGCATAGTGTTGTGCTCAACCATGTTTCGAGTTGCATAAATGCAGTTCTGTCTACATTTTAACATGTTTAGCAAAAATCTAATATTTTGACATATACGTAAAAAAGTCTTATTCAAACATTCTTCATGACTTTTAAATAATTCTCGAATAGTACAGCAATACGACGTATAGTTGATAGTCGAGAAGATTCAATCTTTTTCTCCTTTCATATAGTAAAATCAAACGTATTACTTCATCAACTTTCAAATTGAATATGTTTTACTTGTTTTTTATTTCTCAAAGTGGTACAATAACATTGTAAATTACTCATACATTGGATTTAATAATTTATGTACCTGTATAATCATTTCGCATTCTATCAAGAGCATCGGTTTGTTTAATTAAATCATTGGTTGCTTCTTCGACTTTTTTTTTCAACATTAATATTTGTTGATCTTTTTCAGCAAGTGCCTAAGATTACGTTTCATAACGATGAGAAAACATTAAAAAAATATTTAGTTTTCTTTTTTTTTTTTTAATTACTTTATTCAAAGTAGTAACATCAGCTTTTTGATCTTCTATTGAATACATTTGTAATTTATCATGTAGACTTATTACTTTTCGTTTAAGATCATCAATTTCATCATCTTTTGCTTTAAAAACATCCTTAAAAAAATAAAAATTTTTCCATAAATTCATGAAAATCAAAATGAAAAAAAAAACAAAACAAAACAAACGAAGACATACTTTCCATTGTTTAACACGATCTTCGACGGCTTTCATAACAACATCATCATCATCCTCACCAGGACCCATTGCTTTTTGGTTTTCCAATAAATTAATACTTTGTTTTAAAGCAAGATTTTCTTGATCTTTTTCATTGAGAAGTTCCTGAGAAAGAAGAATTCTTATTCAAAAAAATGATATCTTTCGTTGATAACGAAAAAAAAAATATTCGACTGCCAGTATATGAATATAATGATATTCTTCACATAAATGACATGAAATTCTTTTAACTAAACGTTAGAAATATAGAACATCGACAATCTTCCTCATGATCAGAAATAAGCACGAAACTTTTCAGTTCTAATTGAGGAATCAGATATATTTTATGGACAACGATAGTAAAAGAACATTCTGCTACCAAACTTTCTAGTGAAGAATTTTCTCTTAAAAACAAGGTTATTGTGGTTCTTATGTGACTTTTGTTGCTTGAGAGGACGAATACAAAGTTTGTGGCCGGAATTAGTTCCAATCTCGTTATAATCATGCTCAAACTTAGACACTAGCAATCGTATGGTTTTTGGAACATTCTTTTTTTTTTTATAGAGAAAATCTTTTTGTTCCTGAGAAAGATTCGATTTTACAACCAGTATCAGCAAGTTCCGTGAACATCTTTTGTTATTATTAGTCAAATTGATATTAAAGCAACTTTAATATCGGACAGAATTAACTGCAGTGCCATGCAATTGATATTATTTTTTGTTTGACCACTTATCTATATCCTAATTTTGTGGAAGTGAAACGATACTTCAAAAAAAAAGCAGACAAAAAATAGTTATATACATAGAGCACTACAAACCATTTTTCCTGCGATCCTTCTAAAAGCTATATATTAAGATCAAATGTTCTGATATAATACATAGACATAAATAGGGCTATATGCAAAATGTCACAGCTCTAGGTCTCGTTCAACATCTCATTCATACAATTCTTTCAGATCAATCATACTTTTACTTTTTTAAGTGAGTTACGAGAAGGTTTTCAACGCTATGACTTTAAGTGAACAGAACATTGGTTCAACGCAAATGAAAATTCATGCCCTTTTAGTAAAAGTATGGTGGGATCGAGAAGATTCAGATTGGATAATTCGTAATAGGCTTCATGAATTTCAACCGAGCAAAGTAATGCTAGCGTTCAATTACTATTTACGCAGAAACAGTTGATGTTGTCCCGAGTAATAATTGAAGACGGTTCTCGTTAAGCATACGAATTAATAGGAGACATACTAAGCATAATTTGGCAAGTAAGTATGTCAATTATTCGCATTTGTTTAAAGTTCTACAAAGTTTTACGCTCGATAAGTTGATTATTGCTTATTGATGACTGAAGGTAGTTCCGGGTTTGATTGTCTCGTTATTTATTGAAGAACTTTCGATAGATCAATTTCAATTTTGTATTCGACATTATCACTAGTGATTGATCATAGTTATATAATTAGAATTTAGAATAAGAAGGATAGTCGATGGTTTAAGTGTAACAAAAACAATCAATGAACAGTCAAAGCTCATCGAAATAAGTTCAGATAAGTGCATTTTACTGGTTTTTCTATAACAGATAGCCTAAAGGAGTCCATGCCATTAACATCTAATTGATAGAAGTTAGCCTGTCAGTGGCTGCTTAACGTGATTTTTCAAACTGTATCAAAAGAGAAATAAAAGATCAGCCTTCAAGATCTCAGTTTTTACTAGAGCTCGTCAAGTTGGTCGATGACACAGATCCGATCGAGTTCAGGCTCAAAACTTTTGAATCCGACAAGCACCAATTTCCATGACGAAATCGTAAGCTTGCAGACACTCTGTGCTCTCAAAAACTAAGCCGTCCAAATTCATATAGAAGTATATGTTGATGGAGTTTATTCAGTAGATTTGTACTAATTGTAGCTTCTTTCAGCTGCTTAAATTGAAATATCCAAATACACAAAATTAGACTCAATAACAGCAATCAAATGTTAGATATGCTTTAAACAGACATTAACAGTCTCTTAAAAAATTACTTCAAACTCTACCTCCATGACTTATTTTAATCGAATGCACCCGTACATTATTTATGAGGGATGATGCTTTCGAAAATGATACGAGAACCAGTCTTTAAATATTTCTCTAAAGGGATAACAAAAAAGCTTGCGTAGTGGCCGATTGATTCAAGTAAAAATGAAATGTTTTATGTTGATTAAGTTCTACTAATTTCTCATTGTTGATCTGTTACATTTATAATTATTTCAATATTTCATACATCAAATTGTATTCATACGGACCAGCTGTTCATTATAGGAAAATAATTTTTATTACGAAAAAATATAAATATGAAAAAGTTTGAACTTGTATGTTGAAGTAAAGTCTATACATCAAGAAATCGAATCTAATTGAAGGTCTTTTCGATGATTCTTGCTAAAGGAAAGTAACAAAATTTTTGACGTATTAAAAATCAATAAGGAATTTTCTGAAATGAATTCAAATTATTTTAGTTATAACGTAATATATCAAATCTGAATTATTAGTTCTTCTACATACTTTAGTTCTTGAATATTCTTTTGATAATTCATTAATATGATGATCAATTTCTGTTTTATCTCGTTCAAGATCAACTAATTTTTTACTTAATTTTTGATTTTCTTCAAAATAATTCTAAAATAAAATATTTTATTTTTTTTTTCGTAAACAGAAAAAAAAAGGAATTGACCTACATTATTTTCATCCAAAGCATCATTAAGCTCTTTTTCCAAAGCACGTACACGTGATGTTCGTTCACTATCATCAGTTTTTAGTCGAGTTGTACCAAATAACTCTGTTACACGTTTTTGTGCTTCTTCCGCTCTTTTTTTATAATCATCTCTCTAGAAGAAAAACCATTTAAGAGTAACAATAGTAAAAATAATAAATTTTCTTTCAAACCTCATTTTCTAATTGTCGAACTTTGGCTACATTTCTTAAAAGTTCATCACGAACGTGTCCTAGATCGCCTGATGCATTGTCATATTCTCTTTTATAAGTTTCTGCTTCTTTTCGAAGAATATTTATTTCATGTTCAAGATTAGCCAGATCATCCTTGAAATCTGTATTTGCCTAAAATAGTTTTCATAGAATTGAAAAAAAAAGAAGAAAAATCAATCATTTACATTTTTAGCAGTTTCCAACCGCGTCTTTTTTAATTTTTCATCTGTAGAAAAATAAATAAATCAATAATTTTTAAAAAATACTTTAAACAAAATTCATTTACTCTCTTGTGCAACTGCTACTAGATTCTGCCAACAATCATCCTTTTGTGTTCGAAAACACTAAATATAACAGAAAAATTCAAAGTTTTTCTTTTTACAAAACAAAAATTTTTGTTTTTGTGTTTTTTTACTTCAGTAAATCGTTGACCAAGTCTTAATGCATGTCGTAAATCATCAATATTATCAAGTTCATCTGGATTGAGCTAGAAAATTGGTTTTGAAATTAAACAAGTTTTTGTATGAAAAATTCTTACACTCGTATATAGATCGCTAAGTTTATCATTCGGATCGTCTTCTACGTCATTATCCAAACGAATATCAGTCGGTTTTATTTTCAATAAACTTTGCCAATTTTTAGACGATGCAGCCATATTACAGTCTACAATGTAAACAAAACATCAGTCTTATAAAATTCTTAATTATAATTATTGTTCTAAATTTAATAATGTTGATTTCATATTAAGTACAAGAAAAGGACTATCGTTAACAAATTTTTGTTTCCATTCTTTAAATATATACAAAAAATTATATTTAGAAAATAATCGACGATTTTCTGTTAATTCTGAAAGTTTTTCAAATAGAATTCCTAATTTTTCCATTGTTTTTAAATCAAATGTTGGTGTAAGTGGAAGATGTATATTGCTTGAATTTGTTGATGAACCAAGACCATCATTGCATTGTTGTGTTAATTGATAAAATAAATGAAACCATGTATCATTACTTAATTGTTTTAAAAATGTACGAAGTGATTTTGAATCAGTACAAAGGAGTAGAAGTAGATCAATTGTATCAAATATTACTAAACAAAAAATAAAATTAAAATGTATTATTTAATATACTTTTTTCAGCATGAGTAAAATAGGTTCAATTTCAGATTGAAAGTATCCTTTTCTTAGACTTCTTTACAATTTGCCAGACACATATCTCATGCTGCTAGAGTTCAGTTAAAATTACTATAGAACATATCATCGTGTTACATGAATTTTGGATCGATGCACAATTTCAATGACTTTTCGATCCAGGTCCAAGTTTCTCTAATAAAATTCTCTAGAAATTCGAAATCCTAAAAAAAATTAGCACACTTCTTACAATGGTCGAAATTTTACCAATGGCGAAAACAGGGTAGAATTTCGTAGGCTATCATGAAACAATATTAATATAGAATACATGCGAGAGCTAAAGCCAATATTATTAGAATATATATATATATATCATATCTTACACCCATCAATGTAGTCAATAGGAGTTCTTTTAATTCATATTTTATTTATAGTCTAATCAATGAAATTCCAGTATCCTACTCCGTAGTGCCCGACAGGATGATATAGTGTTGAGCAGTCTGCTTTGATCCTATTAGAAGTAGTATGGTCTTTTGAGATAACTATTACTTGTATGCAATACGTGTTAATTGTAAAAAGCAGAGTACTGAAGAGAAGTACTAACTGATGCTCTTCTGGTTCATTTTTAAGTGTTCAATATTTCTTTATAAACATGCTAGGCACTACGTTTTAATGAAAATGCCTACCGATAAGCACTATGGAGTGTATCATCCATTCATAGAAATAAGGCTTTTTATGAGGATTATTAAAAAGAATTTGGGGTCGATACAAATATTCTTTGGACTGAAATTCTGATCTCTCATATCATTGTATAATCAGTTTTCAATACTTCTAATTTTGTTATTGGCAAGAATGTGGCTTGTTTTTTAATTTCTACAAGTAAATACTATAAGATTTTATTTACTGACCATTTCTATTTGAACAATTTTTCTCGCTCAGCTGGTTCAGTTCAAACTCAGAAAAAAAAATAATGATAAAATATAGATTCGCACTAGAGATATGCACGAAATATTGTGTTCTCAGTTGTAGAATTCAATACTTTTCAGAAAAAAGAAAAATTCAGGTGCCACATTTCTGAAGAGAAATATTTTCTCTTTAAAATAAGATTATGCTTGAAGACTATACAGTTATAAGCATCTAAGTTAGAGTGTAATTTCAATGTAATTAGGATGGAATACGATGGTGAAGTTTGTGTTCGTTCTCTTAGGCTACAAAAAATATACAGGAATCACAGCAACCTTGGCTTGAAGGGAGAATATTTCTCTGCAAAACATAGTAGAGCAATATCCTTTTACTATCTCTTTCCAGAAAACATGTCTTATTCTTCAAGCGAACTCAGAAAGTCTCGTGCTCATCTCTGATTCAGACATGTTTAGAAATTATTTTCTATGAATAGCTGTTCAACTATTCAAATCAAACTGACAAAAATTAGAAATTTTTGATGAAGATTTTTTTCGAAGTTTTCACGAATAGAATATAGTACGGCATATAATGCACACAAGATAGCAGTGAGAATGAGATCTGTGGTCAATGAAAACCTGAATTTTTACTTTCAATCGAAGTTTAGAGAATTCAAAATTGATCATACATCTAACATACGATCGTCTTATTCTGATATCTGAAAAAATGTTTAACGGATAAAGTATAGGTTTTTGGCAAATTCTATTTCACGTTTTATTGTTTATTTGTACTAAGTTTTATTTCTTTCCTCCGTGTTATTATTGTGTTTGCTAAAAAGAATACGTTAAGTAACATTTTTTGAATAGATACAAATTCGATCATGCATCTAATACAAAAATAGACATAGATTATGCAATGAAAAATTGTGTCTTCTACGATTTTGAACAAGAAAAACATCTGAAGCAATATTTTAACAAAGTTTTATTCACTTCAATAATCAAAGTATCTGTGAAATATATTCCTTATTGAAAAATCATGTAATTCATAATAAAAGATGAATTTAAATCGAGACTGTATATGAAAATACACTTCGAATCTAGTTTCTTTCGAGTCATGAAACTTTTAATCGTTGCTTTTTTTTATATCTGCAGCTGTGTTTCGAGATGACCAGGACTGGAGGAGAGGAATGCATGCCCTAAGAAGCTGATATGAAGACGTTTACTACAACTGCTTGGACTTTGAAGGGCAAGTCACACGCACAGAACCTACCCGTGTGCCTTTACGCGCGTAGAAGAAAATTTTTGGAAACTTATGGATAATAGAAAAGTTTTCTTTTTATATGGAAAATTAGGGAAAGCATTTTTCGTTTGTGGAAATTAGAACACAAAGTTCATACATAGATTGTATGATTTATTTTTCAATAGAGAATATTGCCACTTTTTTTTCTGTTTCTGTTACCCTTCAATACATGTTCTTTTCAGCATGCTTATGTTTGAGTTCAGTTGTGCTAGAATATTTTCGAAATGAACAAGTTCCAAGATAACCACAATTACTAGATGAATGATGAAAACTGAATTGTTTTTTTTATAAAGCTTTTTTAGTATAGTAGTTTTGTTTCTTTAAATATATATATATATATGTGCAAAATAAAGCTGTTTCTTTTATTTTGAGAGCGAGAAAAATTTCCGAATGAATTTTCTTCATGAGAAGAAATTTTTCATTTTAACGGCAGATTCTGCACCCCTGGGGAGGAGTATGTGTGTGACTAGGGATGTCACTTTGTGTTCTACTCCTGAGAATGCATAACTGTCTCAAATAAATAGATCAGCAAAAATGTATAAACATCTCATAGTATTGAAATACTGATACTGACAGGTGTGGTGGCACCACCATCACTGATATTCTGTTTGGATGCTTTTATGTATGTGTGTCTGTTTCTCTGTGTAAATTCCCTCATCCTGTCATATTCTCCGCTGTCTCTTCTTGCTAGTCATTTTCTCTTTTTGCTTATTGAATATATCATTGGATCTTATTGCATAGCCGATTTTCGTATCTCTCATTCTTCTCATTTGCTATGATCATCATTATGACACCTGGTATCTTCAACAGTTGCGTGTTAGACAGAATTCAGAACATGACAGGAAGAGAAGGCCTTGAGTGTTTGTTTTTAGGAATCATTGAGCAAAAAAAACAATAAAATACTGGAACTTCGCTGAAGAAAAAAGAAATTTTTTTCAAGATTCGAGTCACTCCTGGATATCTGTATAGAAAATAACCATTGACTCTTACATCGTTTGTGATGTGATGGAGGTTTTAACCATCGATAAAGTGCAATAATACCAAAATTTGTAACAAAAAGATCAATAAATGCTTTTGAATTAAGATCTAATCGAAGTTGATTGTAACATGCAATAAGATCAATTATTTTATTACATGTTAATAAAACAATTAAGCAAGCATAAAGTCGAATCAATGGCTCATTATCATCGAAAAGATGTGGACGTTCCTTTTAAGAAAAAAAAGTTTTTAAAAAAGAAATAATTATTTTGATTTTTTTTGCAAACGAACTTGGTTTTTTTCACATTTAAGAATTTGCTCACATAATCTTCGATAAGAACACGAATATAGATGACGTGTTTGTCCACTTGTTGTTGGACATTCAATAGTTATTAATGAAAAATAAACTAATTTAAGATAAGTAAGTATTAAATTTGAGTAATTTCTATTCAAACAAAACGACGATTGATCAGCTAGAATACTTAATAATTTTGAATATCGTTCAATTGTATCTGATGTTAATGAAGAAGACGATGGCCATTCTATTATTGATGTTTGACTTATATCAGATAACCAATTAAATAAAAAGATCATAGAATCTGTTGAAGCAATACTAGGCGTTTTTGATGCTGTAGTAGCTAGAAAAAAAAAAACATTCATACATGACAATCTTCAATTGAATTTCTTTGAAAGAAAATCTTACGAGAATTTGCTGATGAATGATATTCAGAACAATGATCACTAATCGGCGTATTACGATAACAATTATTATTTTCAATTGATTTTGTAGATTCTTCATGTTGATTATTTAAAGAAATTTTTTTATTCATTTCAATAATTTTTTCTAATTCTTTAATTTTTTGTTCTGAAATTTGATTTAAACGTATTAAATTTTCTGAACGTTTTTCTGATTGTTTTGCTTTTTCAACTAATTTTTCATTTGTTTCACGTAAATCATTTAAATTACGTTTTAATTCATTATTTTGTTCACGCATTAATTGTAATGTTTCATTTGTTCGTTTAAAATCTTTTGTTATTTGATTTAATTTTTCTTTATAAACATTTATTTCACTATCAAATTTTTCTTTGTGTGCTTGCCAACCATGTTCTATGGTTTCACGCATACGCTCTTCCCATTGATTTAATAAATCAGATTTCTTTTTTAAACGTTCATTTTCTTCTGATAAACGTTGACGAATTAATAATAGTTCATTATAAACTGCTTGAACATTTGTTGATATATAACGTGGTGATGCTAATGTTGTATCAATATCAGCATCAGCATTCTCTGCTGATGAACTATAAAGAGTTTTGATTTCATCATCTGATGATTGTTCATCACCTGATTGTATAGAAGAAAGTATGGTTTGATTTAAATCTGTATAATTCGTCATACTTGATTAAAATGAATAGACTGATGAGAAATTGTAGCGTCGATATGGTAACGACATAGATTCAATTTCAATCATTACGAATGGTTTATTAAAATTCCAATCATAAAAAAGCAACTTTTTTTTTCAAATAAAAAGAGTTTTTTTTTTCATGCACTAAAAAAGGAAATTTTATTTATGTTAAGAAATTTTTATCGTCGATTTGGCAAGTACAATATGAATGAGGTAAAATATGGACTTTCGTTATTGTTTATTTGCAACAATTTCCTTCGGGTGTATTCTTCAGTCATATTAAAATAGAAAAAGAAGAGCATAGATTTTGGTGCTACATTTTTTGTTGAATATTACATATGCGTTTATAGAAAATTTTATTCTAATAGATAAATACTGGTTATTATTATTTATTTTATCATGTTAAGATCAGTAATATGATTCATTAGCAAAAAGCCAGCATTATTTGTCGGCTGATATTGTGTTCTTCCAATTCGTTGATAATGAAATTTCCATCAAATATAAGTTTCCTTATAGCAAAATACATTTTCTTCATGATAACGTAATTAATCCTAATGTTTATTTTAATATCCAATAGAGGTACAAAATAAGGACTCATTCTTTTGCACCATACATTCAATTGCGATGTATTATATAATGTTGAATAATAGGTGTGAAAATTCGCATAAATTCGATTTATTTCTTGTTTGAGTGGTGTAATTTGTAGAATTGTTTTTTTTTCTCTACTTGCTTTTAGATCTAGTGATAATGATTATTCGATCTATTGCTCAACAACATTTTTTTAATCTCATCTGTATATCAATAGTAGCATTATTCCATACATACAATTCTCTATCGCACGATTAAAACCGGATAAAAACAAAAATGAAAATGAATATTTGAAATAAAAAAAAATCAGATAAAAAATCAAATAAAAGTCTTGATAAAGGAGCATTAACATTAATTTATTTGGCTAAATATGTTCCTAATATTTTAGCAATATTAATTTATTAGTTTTTTTTTAAAATTCCCATTATGCATCATTATTACCATCGAGTTTATCAGCTATATTGGGTATTTTAACATTCATGTCCGTCTTTCTTATTCGACAAATTGCTATAATACAATTAGGAAAGTTTTATACATATAAAATCAGTATTATTGATGATCATGAAATGATTGATACAGGTCTTTATACATCTATGCGACATCCAGCATATGCTGGTACATTTCTTGAATTCACTGGTGCTGCTTTTCTTTATAATCATTTTATTTTATCATGGTTTATATCATTATCTTATCTTATTGTTATACATAAACATATTAAACAAGAAGAAAAAACGTTAATTGAAGAATTTGGATCAAAATATGAAGAATATATGAAACTAGCCGGCATGTTTTTGTCAAAATTGAAATAAGATTTGTTTTTGTTCAAAGAAGAATATTTAATTTAGCATTTTTTTTAATGTTTATTTTATACAAGAACAATAATTCAGTTCAGATAAATATTATTTTGTTTTAGATAGAAATAATAATTAATGCTTGAATTTACACTTAAGTTTTTGAGTGGTGATAGTCGCAAGTATGAAGTCGACGAATCGGTATGAAATCAAGTTTATGTTTTCCTGTTTGTTTTGTGAATATTTCAATTTTTTTTTTTCATTTCTATTAGACAACCGTACGTCAATTTAAAGAACGTTTACATGATGAATTAAATATTCCAATAGAACGGCAACGTTTAATTTTTCAAGGCAAAGTTTTACAAGATGATGCAAAACTTACCGATACCAGTAAGATGAAAATTTTTTAATTTTATGCAAAATATAATTTTCTTAGATATCCAAAATAAAACCGTACACTTTGTTGAACGTGCCGAACCAATACCACCACCAGGTCCTAATAATGCTTCAGGCAACACATTAAATTCTATGGATCATCGTACAAATGATGGTGGAATGAATCAAGCATTAATGGATGAAGTTAATGAAACAACAAGTATTTTTATTAATGCTTTTCCAGGTGCCGCCAATTTACAGCCGAATGATATTCAAGTTAGTTGATTTGTTTTTCTTCTTTTGTACCTACTATTTTTATCATTTTATTATTCATATGTAGAATTTAGTACAAAATTTACTTAATGATCTTGGCGATGTCGGACGACAAGCTCAAGTGAATACAACAATGGCTGTGAGAGAAAAATAATTGATTGATTGTTGTCATAACTATTGAATGATTTCTTTTGTGTATGCTTAGTCGGATGGACATGGTGTAGATATTAATATTGATTTTGGCAATATACATCAAGTTTTAGAACAACAAGAAATCAATGAACGCTTTCGTTCTATTGGACGAATGCTAACACGACTTAAACTTCGTACCGATCGTATCGAAGTAAGATAATCATAGATACAGTCAGCAACTAAAGTTTAAGCAAATTTGTTTCTTCAAATTTTCTTACACATTAACGTTTACGAACTTGATTCAAATAGTGCTATAGATAGTACGAGAGGCCAACCACATAAATTTAAACGCTTTCCAGTATGCCGTATGTGTTAATCAAAAGATTTCCACTAAAACACAAAAAACAGATAGACAAACGATAGAGAATTACACGCGCTGTTATTTGCTTTACCTTCAAAATCTGACTTTAGTGAGAATAGGTGAAATACAAGAAAAAGTAATATCCTTCGAATTCCATCGTATTGCATTCTTGTCTGAGAATAGTTAAAGGTTAAACAGCTGGGAAATGTCTCATTTCAGAGAAAATTGAAGTCTCTATAAGTCTACTATCAAAAGACTTGAAAGTAAGTATGAAGTAGCAAAACGGGATTAAAAGTGCTGATCGACATTAATAACAAGGCTTAGGAGGTTCTAGAAAATTCCAGAAACTTCTTTGAAATTTAAGGGACCGCAATACGTGTTTCAATATTCTAAGTACCACAATTTCTGATACTTGACTAACTTCCAGTTTTCGGAAAACTATCAATTTTAGTCTTTAGAAGTTTATTGAGACACAATAGATCGTTAAAATCTGGCGTAAATATAACGAATGTATACAACAAGCTTATATGTCTATTGAAGCAATGGTTAGACTACTAATAATAAATTATAAAAAGAAAATAAATATCATGTGAATAGCAACAAGGCAAACAAAACAAAAATGGGTGCTAGTCAAAAAAATGGAAACTTGGTATATTTTGTATTAGAATAATGAAGCTAAATAAGACATACGAGTTCTATATTTCAGCCCCAAAGGAGCTGTGCTAGCGATCTTTTATGTTTGTATCACAAAAAGAACATCACACAAAGTAGCTTTCTTTAGTCTTCAAGCAAGGCGTGGGTGTTTCTTACCTTAACCCTTGCCTATACCCACTCCTGTCGAAATAATTAGAAAGTCATACGATGGAATTTCAAGGATTTCACTTTCCCTTGTTTCATCTACTCTCACAAAGATCAGGTTTTAGAGGTAAAGATTGACTTTGGAAAAAAATGTTATTGAGAAACTGACAAAGCGTAAAATTCTCTATCGATTGGTGTATTTGTTTTTTATTTCACTGCAAATATTTTGGTTAGAAAGGCAAAATACCGGAAAGCATTGAAATTTATTTTTGCGTGGAACAAATTATTTTAATTATGAAACATCTATATAGACTGAGAGAATCACCGTCTATTATATATCATGTAGCCGATCTCCCATACTTTCTCTATCCCTATTTGAATTAGATTCGCAGACCTTAATGTGAAAAAGAATTAGAAAAAGAAATTGCTTAAACATTTGCTATTGACTGTAGAACTTGTCAAACGTTACAAAAGAACTTTTTCATACTTTTAGCAAATTGTGCAATCAAATTTTCGTCTATCACCTACTCCGCCTCCATCAACGTCTGAAAGAACAACAAGTCCACCACGTCCAGCTGCAGCAACTACAACAATAGCAGCAGCAGCTACAACAACAGCAGCGGCAGTAGCAAGTCCACCACCACAACCTTCGACAACGTCATCAACAACATTTCTTGGCATGGAAGATATAACATCAACTGAAATGGATGTAGAATCCCAAGGTTCTATTAATTCAACTGAAACACTTCATACACCACCAACTACTGCAGGTACAACTCCTGTAGAAAATTCTTCATCACCATCAACAACAAATAATAATGCAGCTATCCCAGCACCGTAAGAGAATTTATTTATTTTTTTAATAATAATAATAATAATAGTTAATTTTTTAGGCGAACAGCTCGTGATTTAGCTGAATTATTGAATACAATTGATACTGAACAACATCGATTACAAGCAAATTATCAAACTTATTTACGTACTATAACACAAACTGATGCTTTTGTAAGTTATCTACTGCAAAAGAAACTTGCTATTTTTTATTGAATTCATAATAAACATATTGTTTAGGATCAAGAATTGAGTGGTCGCCAACGTTTTTATTCTTTATATAATGAAGCAACACATTTAATTGCTCATATTTATCATAATATAACTGATTTTACTCTTGATCTTAATGATCCACTTGAAACACGTTTATTACATTTGGGAGAATTACCTATTTCTCAAGCTGGTCTTGCTTCAATAGCGCAAAATAGTGGACATAGTTTTCCATCTGCTCAAGAAGTAGGAGGAGCAAGAGTATTACCACGTCCTTCACGTTCAATTGGTCGACGAGTAAGTAAAATTTATTCTTTCGAGCTATAAGAATATTAAACATGAAATCATTTTTTCAGCCAGCAGCTGTAGCAACAGCTCGTATTATGGGTCCAATACAAATATCAACTGGAGCTAATCCAGCTTTGGTACCAGGAGAAGCTCGGATGCCATTTCAAAATCCAATGGGTGCTATTCCTCGCATGGTTCGTTTAAAATTTATTCATTTTTATTCTACTCTCTTTTCTTTTATTGTTCAGCTATTTAATGCTACACCACGATCATCACTTCCTATTCGTCCTCCTCCACCTCTAACACCGAATAATGGTGGAATGCAACAATCAATGCGTTTTAATTTAGGTACATTACCATATACATTCATGCAAATGGGGCCAGATGGAATAACTTTAAATCAAGTTTCAGCATCAGTTGTAGCAGATGTACAAACCGCTAATTCATCATCATCACAACAACAATCATCAACAAATCGATCAACATTAAGTATGTTATTTAATATAAATAATAAATTTCTTCAAATTATGTAAAAAAAAATGTTTTTTTCTACTCTAGATAATGTTCCACAAGGTGCAACACATGTCATTTCAAGTGGTCCTATACAAATAAATGGCGGTCAATTAGACAGTAATCTTGCTGCTGAAATTGCACAACGTGTATCCAATAGTGTTCAACGTTCGTATTACAATTTTTTCTTAATCATTTAAAAAAAATGAATATGTTAATTTTTTCTCTCGAATTTTATAGAACATTTTGCTCAGATGACCAATCAACAAGTACCAAATAATACAAATATTAATAATCAATCACCGAATAATAATAATTCGAATGTAACAGATTCAATTTTACGATCAACATTTGTTCTTCAACCTGATTCGCCAGCAACAACATTACGTAATAATGAAACATTAAGATCACGTTCAGCTGATTCACGACCACCAAATAATAATACAACAACATCCACAACAACATCAAGTATTGAAGATGATGAAGCTGATTGGATTGATTTACCATCAATGGATCTTCCTGTACCACCACAACAACTTCCTAATCCACCTATGCTCCCAATGCCTCGTCTTCGAGGATCAGCTATAATACGTAAGTTCTTTTCGATACTAACAACATTTTCAATGTTTCTTTTTTTGTTCCAATTTTAGAGTCAATTGATCGAAGTTTACCATGTGCCTCACCTTATTTTACTCAAACACTTCGTCCACCATTTGATAATCCAAATAATGCAGCAAATTTAACACCAGCAGAAGCAGCAGCATTGCAAAATACTTCTAATCGTGCTGTTATATTTGCAACAGCACCTCAACGTCCACGTGGTCGTCATCGTCATCCGGCTGGACCATGGGCACAATTAAATCAACAACAACAACAGCAACAACAACAGCAAATGCAAAATTTTATGTTAGCATCACCTGGCGCACCAACTGGTACAACTGTTCTTACACCTGCTGGTCATGCTTACAATATGACAGCACATTCATTTGAAATTCCAATGGTTATTTCAACGACAACAACAACTGAAATACCACAACAGCAAACATCTAATGATAATTCTCCACAGCAACAACAACAATCATCAACTAATGATGCACAACAAATTCAAATGGTAAAAAAAGTTTAAATAAGTTTTTTTTTGTTTTCATTCAATTTTTCTTTCTATTTAGAATGCAATTATAAGTCAGGTACTTTCACAAATTTTACCTGGTGTTTTACGAACTGGTAACGGACGAGTTCGACGTATGTAAAATGATATTTTTATTTAGTTGTTATTTATTTATATTTTTTATTTTAGTAAATATTGGTCAAAATAATCCCGGTAATAATAATAACAATACTTCAACTTCACAATCTCAAGCCAGTGGAACAAATACAACTCAACAGACAATACCAACGGCAACTAATATTCCGGGAGTAGTAGCTGGTAATTTAGATTTCTCAAATATTGCTCGATCGATTGGTACTATGGTACAAGGAATAACTGGACGATTTATACCTGGTGCAACATTAATTAGTTCTAATCTTGCAACGCCTACGTCAACGACATCGTCATCATCGACGTCGTCCTCGTCCTCATCTTCTTCATCATCAACAATAACAACAACTAATACGACTTCTTCATCACAGAATAGTAATACTTCTACAAGTACAACAACAAATAATAATGAAAATGACGCTGTTACTGAACAAATGCTTACAGGTATAAGGAATTAAAAAAAAACCAAAAATAATCTCTAATTTCATCTTATTCTTGTATAGAACTTTTACGTTTATTGGGTGGTGGTCTTGATAATCCAGAATTAGATAATCTTACAATTGGTTCATTTATGCAACGTTTTGGTGAAGATATTGATGCTCGTTCGAATGATGGTAAAATTCTTCGATCAAATAAAATAAATAATAAAACAAAAAGAAATTTCTTTTTGTCATTTAGGTACTAATCTTATTAGTGAATTATTTTCCACAATGACATCACGTATGCATTTCACTGATGTTTGGAATCTCGTGTTGGGTAATCCAGTTGGACCACGTATTAATGAAGCACGTCGATCAGCAACTGAATATTTGCAGTAATATTATTATATTATTATTTAATCAAATCTATTTATTATTAAAATAGGAATACTATACTTCAACGACGACCTATAACACCAGAAACACTTGAAGAAATAGTTGATAAACTTTATGAATCACTTTTACAAGAAGCTGCTGTGAATTTTGTACGTATTGTTTTTCGAAAAAATAACATTCATAAATATTGGGACAGTTTGACTTTCATCATTCGAACCTTATTTAGTAGAAAATTTTTCGTCCTACAAAACTGTGGACTTCGTTTTTTTTTCAAGTTTTTCTTGTCGCAGAAAATATTGGAAAGGTTGACGGCTGCTTCATTGTTGAACTGCGATCTTCTACTATTTTCTCTGAACATCTCATGATTTGTACAAACTTATGCTCGTCAACTTGGATGCTAAATGTAAAGTATTTAGCATCGATATATAGAGAGTTTCATGCTTCTGAGATCTTCTCAAGACTTCTAATGAAATCTTTCAAGTGCAACAAGTTTGGAACAGACCTGGTAGTATTTTATTTTAAATACGCTTTCGAAAGTCATAGTTTCCAAAGTGAGCGTGCTCTATGAACTGTTTATCATTATATCATCGGATGCAGAGTTTGATTCTGAACAAAATGATATTAAATTTAAATTGAACAAGGGAAATCTTTGGATTGTTTTCAAATCTCAATGACATAAAACTGCTAGAAAGAGTCTTTTGCGTCTTTTATCTAATTTTTTGCTTGAAAAATTGTCCCTCCACATTTGCTTACCTAAAACTTCGAAACATCGCCAGATGCAGCATATTTCAAATTTTGACAGAACCGTTATTAAAGCAAGTTAATACTAATTATTTCGTTTTCTGACAATTGTATTTCAATGGCTGAATGTTTGTCAATTTTTTAGGTTTTTCTGAAACATGAGAAACTTGTTTGAAAAACAAAGTTAACAATTTTGTAGAACCAAAAATTTTCTATCGAATGAACTTAGAATGCTGTCTTCAAAAAAAAAAGCAAATCAAAGAGTCCTATTCATTATGATGGATCATCTGTTAAATAAAATATTTATTTCTAGAATGAACTTCGAGTTAAACCAAATATTAATATAGCAAATATAATGAAACGTTTCTTTCGTCATCATGCTCGTAAATTATTACGTATTTTATTTGATGATCGTAAGTTGAGTGTTTTTATGAAAAAAACTAAAGGTTTTTTTACTTCTTTTGTTGCCTTGTTTTTTTCTAGCAAATAATGTTTGGTTTGAACGTTTTCGTCAACAATTAATTTCGATGCGTAATGAATATTTAGCATTATCATCACAATGTCTTGAAGGTGGAGAAACAGCTGCAATAGATTTTATTCTTAATCGACATGTAAAAAACATATTCTAGATTAAAATAATATATATATAGAAAATTTTGTTTTATTTTAGCGTATTATTTTTCGTTCATCAAATTCAATGATTGTAACATGGTCTGAAACTTATCTTCGTACATCTTTAGCAAATGCATTTAATGCAATACGTTCATCACCACCAAATATATCAAATTATTTAATAGAACCTACACCAATTATTGAACGCCATGTACATGCTACACCTTCATCAACAACACAATTAACTAGTATAATTAATAAAACTAATCATGAACGTGAGACAGCAGCATCAACAACAACACCAACGTCATCATCAAATCCATCATGGAAAGCAAATTTACCTGATGTTTGTATTTATTTATATTTAAAAATATAATATCTATCTTTTTGTGCTTTTCAATTTAGGATTGGATTCCAATTGTTGTTCGAGATGTGAATAGTCAACATGATGCACCAGCACAATCACCATTTAGTGATGCTTATAAAGAAGGCATGCCATCTAAACGACGTCGTGTTCATATGCGTGAAGATTTAACTTCATCTAATTTACTACAAACACTTGTTTTACGTGCTTCATCAGCAAGTTCATCAAATAATCAAATGTCAAATGGAACGCCAATAACACCAGAAAGTGTCCTAACTGGTGAAGCACCTTCACCAACACTTGTTAATACATTTGAACAAGAACTTAAACGTTTATTAGAACAACGTATAAGACAAGATCGTGATTATCCTGAAGTACAAAATCGTATGCCGAATACAAAACGTTATTTAGACGGTGACAAATAAAATCTTAGCTTTTTATTTATCCGTGTACAGATTTATCATCAACAAGAAACAAAAGAAACCCATTAAACAAAAAAACTTTCTATTTATTATAATACTTATAAAAAAACTGAATTTTTTTTCTCTTTTTTTTTTCATTTCTCTTTTCATATTGTGGAACATTGAAAGATGATATATGATTGCATGGAAGTTAACGATTTGTGTACCTGTATGTATCTATGCGGTTTGCTTGACTAAAATTAAACAGTCAATACTGAGTCTGTTCATTTTCTTTTTCGTCATTTCTTTTTTCATTTCGTTCAAAAAACCGTGAATAGATTGTGTAAGACGAAATAAACACGCGTGCACCACAATAAAATGATTGAATTTTTAAAAAAATATTCTCTTTCTATTTCAGACATCAAAAGATAAAATAATAGCATCAAAATGTTCGATTCATTACGTTCTACATTTGCAATGCTTGGTGATCAAGTGTGGTTCTTTCGTTTTTTTGTCATTTTTGCTGTTATATGTGTATATCGTACACTTTTAAATTATGTTATTCGTTCAAATCATTGTGCTAATCCATTTTGTTCGAAGTGTGTGGGTTCAAACACAATTCGTGGTCGTGCAATAAATTATATTAAAAATGGTAATGATGAGGAAGATTCATTAAATTCAATAATACTTAATAATTTACTTCAACATGATCGTTTATGTCGTAAAAATGATGAAAAGCCGACTATTTATTTTCATCGTGGTCTAAGTAGTAACGATGTTAAATTAAGCGACCAACAAATACTTATTGATCATTATGATGAACTTCGTCAAGAAATTGTTAAATATTTTCAAGAAAATGATAATATTCAATGGATGAATTTTTATTTATACAAAGATGGCGAAGAAAATAAAACTAATTGTGAAACATTACCAAAACTATTTGAAATTTTACATTTATTACCCAATGCTATTTGTATTAATGATCGAAATTGTCTTTTTGGTAATTGTTTTCTCACACGATTAACATTAAATAATAATGAAGTAGACAAAAATAAAAATGGCTTAACAAATTGTTGTATTCGAATGCATTTTGGTTTGATTTGTGACGATCAATCATCAACATATGTTCTTATTAATAAACACAAACGTTTACCAATTGAAAATAAACGTACTACTTTATACAATCATGGACTTGAACATTCCATTCAAAATCAAAATCAAAAACAACAAGTTTTTCTAACGATTGATTTTTGGCATCCAGATTTATCGTCTGAAATGCGCAAACAATTAGCATCTATCTTTCGCACTGATTCAGTATAGAAGAAAATTACATGCAATATTCAATCTTTTATTTTAGTTTTATTTTATGAAACTCAGAATTAGTCTGATAGATTGTCTCTTCTGAACTAAAAATACTTGTCGATTTTTATATTTTGTTTTGAATTCGAAAAAAGCAATTAATAAAAAGATCTGCATATAAACAGGCAAAATCTATATTGGCTCATTTTTATTTCTAGTCGAGTGCGTGATTTTAGTTTCACTAATGTTTATCATTGGTAAAGTTTATGCAAACCATAGTAAAAAACGTTTATTAATTGTCAATTTTTCTTTAGCTATTGAAATCACCATATGTCTCATTTTGGGTATTGGTTTAATACTAGTGTTGATATGTTGTAAAAGGTATATATGTATAGATTTTCCTGAGTTTTGATTATAAAAATAGAAACATTTATAGAATTTATCAGGAAATATTAAGCCATGATGAGCAGAAAAAAATTGAACTTTTATCAACATCAATAAATGAAGAATTATTATTACAGAATACAGTAATTGCATATTATGAACAACAACGTAATGAATTGATAGAGCAACAGAAGTGAGTTTTAGTATTATCATACTTATTAATAGAATCGTTCTAAAAAAAAACATGAATTGATGATTATCTATCAGGACTGTAATAGTACATACACAAGAACACTTGATATTCATTTAAAATGAATGCCGACATATCTTAAAATGTTCATGATGAAGGTGTTTTAAAGTTATATTCATTGGAAAGTTTTTGAAATTCCATTCTTTTCTATTTGTCTTAATTAATAGAATGGTTTTGAATGATTTAAAAGTCGAAACAACCGTCATAAAAAATACTGATTCAAGTTACACATCCATCCATTCACAATCTAATTCTCCTAATTCTCTCTATGAATGTAGTGGTTTTGCTTCTGTAAGTTTTGTTTTTATTATATGGAAACATTTTTGTTTTCTGTTATAACCATGAATATTTTGTTTCTAGATGGATAATCTTGAAGTATCCAATCCATTGTTTTCCACTGATATGTTTCGTGATAATAGACAAGTGTCGATGACATTACCATTGATAACAAAATAGAATCTTTTCTTTTTATATACTCATGGATTGTTATTTGTTTTATTTTGCTTGAGTCTGATATTAGTATTACTATAATACTTTTGATGATTTTATACAACATGATTTCAAGTGTGACGAACACTAGAAATGAAGACAACAAGTTCAAGAAAAATGATTATCTTGTGCCTTGCAGAACGTACAATATTAAATAATAGATCTCAAAAATCAAAATAATCTGTTGATTTCTTTTAGAGCAAAATGATTTTTAATGTTAGCTAGAGACCAGTGCACTCTATTTGTTTTGGAAAGAAATGGAATTACACAAACCACAAGTGCACTTGAAACACAAGCTCGTATATATATATAATTTGCAACAATCTGTAGAATTTCAAAAGGAGCGACATTAGAAATTGCCAAGTTTGCTCTTCTATACTATTTCATACGAAGATTGAAGCTGGGTAGATAGATTGGGCCAAGTTGAAGATGAGTTAAGGATGATAGGTGAGGACAACAACATTACTAGTTAGGTGTTTGCACATAGGTGTACGTTGGTACAGAGAAAATTAGCACCATTCTCACGAACTCAACTTAATCTAAGCTCACCCTCAAATAAGGATGATTACGAAAAGATCACAGTTTCGTCAGATTTATTCTCTAATTGAATCCAAGTATCAATTTTTACCGCGCAAAGTAATGTATGACTGACAAAAAAAAACTTTCTCTCTCACTATGAAATGCAAGTAAAGACATGAAATCATTTCAATGGTTGTCTTTTGTTCCGCTAGTGAGTAGTTCGAATTTTTCTGATACTTATAATATTTCATTTTCGTTATGGGAAAGAAAAAAAAGTTTGAAAGAATTGCTTCGCGTGATTGGACTAGGCTCTTCTCGGAAAGATAAAATGCAGTGAACGGTAGCGAATCTGCACCTTAAAATACAATATGGATACAATGCTTGGACGTACAACAGTGTAATAATTAATCGAAAAGAAATAACTCTTGTAATTAGAGAGATACTACTATATGTGTATATCCTGAGAATCAGAAGAAAAAGTTTTGTTTTTTATTTTTTCGATTTTAGTTTTTATTTGATATTAATCCGAAAAGTGACTCACCCTTGTATTATGGGAGCTTATATCGTTACAAATAATGAAAACGAACAGAAAAGTGAAGAAAAGAAAAAAAATTTTCGCGCGGGGCCGCTTTATGAATAAAAAGGAGTCACATTTACACAGAAGCTTCTGCTTTTCTGATGTGAGCTTATATTCCACATGGTTTGTGTTTATTTGATTTTGAGTCCTTTCAAGTCAACATGCAATCTTTTCAGAAACTGTTTACATTTTTTTTACGTTCAAAAGACTTAAACCGTGAGGTTGTATGCGTCGTTGTAGGGGTGGAGATGGGTCTCGGAGTTGGTGTGAGTGTTGAAGCAGTGGATCCAGCGCCACACATTTACACCTACACTAGAAAGAAAACCAACCTTTTAGCTGCGTAATGCTTTTCTTTGTGCACACACTACTCGACAGTCGACAGGCAGTGTAAATAAAAAAGAATGAATGCATCTTATCACAATACACATTTGCTGGTTGTTTTTTTATCGTGTCCTTCAAAAGCGTAATTTTATTTTTTTTCTGGGACGCAAAATAATGTTATAAGCGAAAGTGCACACTTTCATTCTTGAATCAATAGAAGAACACTGATATATGCGTCAACAGCATGCATCATATTCTGGATGTTTGTGTGGTTGCTATCGAAGAAACGTTTCTCTCTCGTTAAAAACAAAGGTAAAATTGCGAGAAGAAAGAATTTTTTTTCTGCGTGACACTGCAAACGATTGTGGGAATATTGGTAAAAAGCATATTGTTGCTCTCACATAATGGCGTAGTTGCAAATCTTTTGTGTTCGTCCTTTCAAGTAAGTAAATATTCGAACCAAAGCAGTCTCAAAGACTGCTATCCGCGAAAAATGAATCGTTTTGCGGATAATGATCTCGAGAACAGCTACTGTACTCTCATTCTTGGCTATTGGGCCTATGCACTGCTCTTGTTTTAAGCATCCGTGAGGCCAACGCTCCCGCTCATCAATGAATTAGATCGTTACATTGAAGCAGAACAGAATATTGAAACCATGCATCAGAAATCGATTTGATTCATGGTACATCAGCTGCTAAGCATTTGTACAACATGACTGGCGGCGACAACAGTTTGCATAGAATATCTAATTAAGTTGTGTAGTTTGCAGAGCAATACCAAGTTAAGTCATGCTATCCTTATCTACAACTGATGAAAGACAATTAGAAAGTTATGCATCGTGATGCAAAAATAAGTAGAGAAATGATTCCAAATGACATTCTGCCACTAAATGAACTAAGAGATAAAAGAAAACATTATAAAATGAAAGAAATATTTTAAGAACAGAGTAAGAAGTGGATGTAAGTGTCGATCAGGTTGTAAGCCATGATAAAATGAAAATCGTCACTCAAACCCTCTCTCATACCTGTATCCACTCTCGATCTTCGATGACACATGATCACCCGCACCTATAAATCATAAAAGGAAATGCAGGCACTCATCCACCGACAGCAACACCAGACTACAGCGAAAATATAGCAATATCCACGCAACTAAGAACCCTAGATACAACTACTCACTCATGCG